GCCTCATGCATGCTAAGCATGCCCTCCACCACAGAACTACATCCCGAGTCTCAATGAGAAAAGTTTTGAGTCACTGATCGAAAACAGCAGTTCTGCCCTCATCTCAGAAACCCAGGGGTTCCCAGCCTGTGCTTTGAGAACTTCTGCTCTGTACACCATGGAGTCACTCAGGGCAGGCGCAGTCTGAGAACTTCTGCTCTGTACAAATACCAAAGAAAACTTTTTTTCCATTATCATAATCAAAGTGCCCATGGTTATGGCATAAGTGTCAGGATGAAATCATGGTTCAGAACACAATCATTCAGCTAGAAGAATAAGAGGTTGGATCTCAGCTTTTACTTTTGAATATAAAAGCCAGGAGTTTATTTTGTTTTGTTCCACAATTGATTATTTAAGCATTCCCTTTTCYCTTCGATTATAAAGGTAATATATACTTACAACAAAGCATTCAAACAGAACAGAGGCAAATAAAATTAGTAATTCTCATTATTAAATGAGAAAAAACAATACTTGTAGCTTTGCTGAATTGCCACTAGGCCAAAGTGAGTTACACAGTGTGCACATGCGTGTCCATATATGTATGACATTTACAAGAATAAAAACTCTGTTTAAAGGTTATCTGTGCCCTGTTCAGGTATCATAGAAATTCTGTTTAGTAAAGTGCTTGTTCATCTTTTGCCCATTTTTTTCTGTTGGATTATCTGCCTTTATTCTTATTGATTTGTAGGAGTTTATTTCTTACTCTATCAGTCTTTTGTCAGACTTAATATGTTGCTGACACAGAAAAAAATCATAGACTCTCAGTTTATTATTCTGTAAAACTAGGATAAAATATGGTTGGTGTAAAGATTAAATTGGATAAAAGAAGCCATCCTTGTTATAAACTATACAGTGCTACAAAAAATGTGAATTTATATCATCCAGTGGTCTTCCCTGCAAGCAAGAATTTAGACATGGTTAGATCTAGTGTTACGTATTTTGTTTTGTTTTGTTTTCCTCAGCATCTACTCAAAAGCAAAGAAAGCAGTGAAATAATGTTGAATAATTCTTTCCATAACTTCCAAAAGAATAGCTGCTGTAAGAATGCAAGATAGCACATTACACATCATCAGAACAGTTGTACTTAAATAAGATACACAATTATTCAGAAAGATTGATTTTTTTAAAAAATGTGTTCATATAAATCAAAGTGTGCTCTTCAGTGAAGTGCTCAAATTAAAACAGAGTGAGGAGAGTCAGGCCACTTGACTCTGGGGTATGGTGTCACACTGATCTTCTTTGCTTCCATGATAGGCTTCTCCTGAGTCCTCAAGGCAGACAGGAGCATGTTCTTCAGGGAGATCCATGGGCAAGCAGCTGCACAGGGACAGCTGCTAATGCCGAGTGACATTTCATGGATTGAATGGTGCTACCCTTAATACCACTGGCTATAGGAGGCACATAGAGCAGCTGTTAATATTCTCATTTCCAAGGAGAGAAGATTGAAGCCCAAAGACTACAAGTGCCTACTGGCTGGGTAACTGAGATTAGACCCAGAGATCCTTCTGCCCACATGGTCTCTGACTCTTCATTGCTGTCCTGCTCAGTGTGGACAGGGCAGTAATAGCCAGATGGTTGACCTGGAATTACTGAAAACAATTTTAAGAGTGCTATGGTCTGAATATTTGTGCCCTCCTCATTCATATGTTGAAATCCTAAGCCACAAGATGATATTGGGGGTGGGGTCCTTGGGAAGTAGTTCAGTCCTGAGAATGGCTCCCTCACAGATTGGACTAGTCCTCTTATAAAAAAGAGATTCCAGAAAGTCGATTTCACCCCTTTCACCATGTAAAGACACAGGCAGAAGACCACCACTTATGAACCATGAAACAGGCCCTCACCAGACAGCAGAATTCAATTATACCAGCACCTTGATCTCAGACTTCCATTCTCAAACTGATAAATAAATTCCTGTTGTTTATAAGCCTCTCAGTTTATATTGTTTTTAAAACATCCTAAACAGGCTAAGACACAGAAACTGCACTGCTTGCTAATTACCAGCCCTGGGGTACCTGTGGGATGCTGTTTTCCACCTGAATAGAGCCTTGGCAAGCTCCCCCATTTTATCTTCCAGGAGCTCAGGAACAATGTTCAATTACCACATTACATATCAGGCCAGCATATTGCCTGAAACAGGAAGTGCTTCATAACATTTGTTGAATGAATGAATGAGCAAACGAATGAATGAAGGAAAAGTTGGCTGGACCACAGAGAAAAGGCTTGTGCACTGAGTAAGGGATTTTTGACCTGATCCTTTGTTCAGTGAAGTTGAAAGAGGATGAACTGATTATATTTGTGTTCAGAAAGCCCCATGTGGAGGTGAGCAGAGGACAAATGTGAGTGTGCACATATGTGTGTATGCGTGAGTCAGCATATTGCAGGTCGGAGAAAGTGTGAGACCTTGTCACCCTGTGGGTGCGGCCCTGAGCCAGTGAGGGGAGGAAGGAGATGCATTTGGAGAGTGGAGCCCTCCGACTACAACGGGTTTCCTTTGGAGCCTCAGCAGAGGGCCCCCCTTGGCATTGCTGTGCTGTCAGGTGGTGGCTGGCTGCTGCTTGTTGTTGATTACAGATTGAAATGCTATACTTTGGTCCCATGCTGCCACACAGCACAGAAATCCAGTGTCACTCTAATGAGGTTTCCGTTTGAATGCTGGAAAGAAAAAAAAGCCTTTTAATTAGATTGGTAGTAATTGAGCTCCCAAATCGCAGAAGCCTTTCTCTCAGGAGAGGAAGACACAAATGCAATTAAAAGAAGAAAAGGCACCTAAATGTGGAACCTTGCTAATTCTAAGTCCATTAAAAACAACAGCTGCTTAATAAGTTGAGGCAGCAGATTCATGTCCTGAAGAGCTTAAGGAATAGGAGACYGAACTGGAACTGAGCACATGTACAGTTTCAACATATGGCTCCTCATGTGGAACACGGAGAACTGTGAGCTCTACAACTTTTTACCATGAAAATATATTGGCTTGTGTTGTTTTGGAAAAGGAAATGTCTTTCCTCTGTTACAGAACTGTCAGTTTCTCCTAAGCATATCCCCTGTCCTGGAACCTCTGAGATATAGTCCACTGGGAGCAGTATCCTCTCTGTGGTATCTGCCCAACCCCACCCATCTCACCCTCAAAGGCACTCAGCAGGTGAGCAGCAGGGCACAGGGGCATGGATATGTTAGAGTGTCCCTGCCAACTTCTTACCTGTATACCACATTTTTATTTTAATAAGAAGCAGCATTCAATTCTCATTTGCATCCCTGCCTGCAGACTACACCCTGGCAGATGCTAGGTGCTTTCAATCATTGGGCCTGTTTTTGGTGACTTCCCATTAGTGAACCAGGACAAGTAATTCCTATTACAGGGGAACTTGAGGTCTTAGCTTCCAGGCAAGTCTTCACGCTAACCTTAATAAATAMTTTCCCTGGAGAGGGTGTTAGTTGCTAATATACGGAACCCTTTAGGTTGCAGTTGAGAGGATTCAATACTAAAACAACAACATTCTAATATAACTATTATATAAAAGTTGCTCAGTTGCCTCTTTGTGAATTGTTTTTTGCTAGACCCTGCTGGACTTAGCCAGTGATAAAGTACTGCTTRCATCCCAATTGTAAAGGGCAAGTTTGACTAGACTCTTCTTTACATGGTATGTTAGTTCACTTTCCATCACTGTAATAATACCTGAAGTAATCAGCCTACAAAAAGAAAAGGTTTATTTTGGTCCATGGTTTTGGAAGTTTCTGTCTGTGATTGGTTGGCCTCTCCCTTTGGGACTGTAGCAAGACAGCTCATTGTGGCAGGAGCATGTGGTAGAGCAGACCTGCTCAAGAGCTGCCAGGAATGAAAGAGAGGAAGAGGAAGGGGCTGGAGTCCCACTGTCTGTCYCCTTCAAGAGCAATCCCCTAATGACCTAAAGACTGTCTACTAGGCCCCATCTCTTTTTATTTAATTTTTTTTTAGTTGTAGATGGACACAATAACATTATTTTTTTTAATTTAATTTATTTACGTGGCGTTGAGAATAGAACTCAGTGCCTCACACATGCTAGGCAACTGCTCTAACACTGATCCACAACCCCAGCCCCTAGGCCCCCACCTCTTAAAAGCTCTAGTACCTTCCATAGCTCCAGGCCTTTGAGGGATACTTATGATCCRAACTGTAGTAGATGCTTGGTGTTTGAACAACGTTGATACACTGTGCTGGGYTCAGTGGCTGATGCACAAACTTGATGCCTTGCTGGATCCCCATTCAGAAAGGTATCTTGGAAATGCAGAAAAATGGGTCCTGGAGTCAGACATATCCCACTGTGAGTGTATTCTTTGTAAAGTTGCCTCACTTTTCTAACCCTTAGTTTACTCAGTTGTGTAGGATTTATTTTGCAGATGTATGGCAGGGGCCTGACATGTTGACTGGCCAGGTAGAGAATATTAGAAGACCCAGACCCACAGGGATGTGGCAGAGCTATAGGCTACAGCATTCTCAACATAGGGTGGGGCTGCTTGACATGGGGCCATGCTTTTTTGGGAGGGAAGCATTGAATATTTGAATATTTATATTTGTTTAAAAGTACATAAATTCTAGCAATAAAACTGCCTTTAAAAATTAAAATTTGCACCCAATTTTTAAAGTATGTAAATTATAAATAAGATAAATGGCAAAGTCCTTAGCAGACATCATTTCTGGATGGTAGGGCTGCCCAATTTTAATTTCCTTCTTTATACTCTGCCATCCTTTGTAAGTGCTCTATAATAAATGTGTATTACTTCAGAATGAATAGAAAAGCTTAACTCTGGGGAAATGCTGCTGGCATAGATTTGGAAGTGCCTGGTGCATTCTAATTTGCACATATAACAATGATCCCAATAGTCAAATTTCTACATGAATAATTGTATCAATCCTTCTTTTGTAAAGTACATAAGCTGTATTTATGCTGCTTTTTTTTTTGTTCTTTCTTTCTTTTCTTTTTTAGGATGAGAAGAACCAAGTTTTAACCACCAATATTTGGCTGCAAATGGTAAGTTAAGACAGTGGCATCCTTGCTTCTGTGTCTGCCTATTCATGTTTCTGGGATGCATGTGCTTGATCAGCAGGGAAGGCAGAGGTTCTGTGAGGAAAAGCCCAGGCTGTCACCCCTGACTCTACACCTGCCAACAACGAATGCTGGAGGTGTCATGCTGCAGACTATAAATTTCTGGCTTAGAGAGTCCTTTAGGTTGGCATTGAATATTCAATACTGAATAACAGCAGAGCTTGATGTGTGCTTCTATTGTACTACTGGGTGATCTGGGGACATTTCAAAACCACTTCAGGCAAGAAAAATAATAAGATGCAGGGCAGCATTTAGATGGTCCCAACCTGTGCTGTAGCCACTCCCTAGTGCTCTGYAGCACCTGCCTGTCTTCTGTACCCTCAAGAGATGCATGTTTGACTCAGTCTGAGAGTTTCTGTGCTATAAGTCTTCACATTTCATGCTGTAGTGACTGCTGCAAAAACCTCTAAAGATTATATAGGTTGAGCATCCCTAATCTAAAATCCATAGTCTGAAATGCTATGAAATCTGAAACATTTTGAACATGACATTCAAACTCTTTCAGATTTTGGACTTTAAGTTTTTAGATTTTTCAGTTAGAGATCTTCAACCAGCAAAATCTACACGAATATACCAAAATTCAAAAAAACTTCAAAATCTGAAATAGTTCCCAAGTATTTTGGATAAGGGATACTCAATTTGTTTTCTATTCCTGGATTTTTAACTTGATATCTGTGATGCTAATTTAAATTCAATTAATTACAGGTGATATTGTGCCATCAAGTTGTAAATATTGAAATTCAAACATAAAACTGTTAGTCTTTATTTCACATGGAATCTTAATATCATAATAATTAACTCTGTGTCCATATCATTTCCTTAAAAAACAATATAAGCAAACCCTTCTTTTGCTGTTTAATGTTTTACATATCCTCTTTTTCTCCTTGTATCTGCATTTCTGTTATGCTTTTCATGCAGGGTTTTATAAATAATGCAAAATAATTTTGTATTTGAAAGACTTTTATTAATCACTATAACTCATTTTTTCTCAAATGTAAATGTTTACATAGAAATTATTCCTTCAGACCATAAGTGTTTAAAAAGTTCTTCAGATTTGACTTAATATTGCTATTATTATTGGCACATTTTTATTGGTATAAATTTTAATACATAATATTCAATACTTTTTATATTGGATATTCATGTCTGTGTCAAGATGGAGGTTTGTTTTAAATTAATTTATGTATCCACAGGTGATTYTGTTATTTCTAGACACAAGAGAACAGAACAATACAGTTGTCATCATCARTTCTTTAACTTATTTTGTTAATAGATGCAGCAACATCTTGAGTTGGTAATGAAAGACTTTTTGTTAAAAAAAATTATTCAATTCTTTGAACTTCTTCCAGATTTTATGCACAAAATAACATTGTTTCCATCAAATGCATCAGTTGGCAACTTAATTAGTTTCTTCTTCATTTTTACTGAAAGCAAAAAATAAAAGGATTACCCCCTCACCTTTTAAATTATTTGCCACTCAGTTTTTTAAGGTAATTCATACACAGAGACAACTGCAGGCAGATCTTTGTTGGTTCTTTGTATAGTCTCCCAAGATGAGTTAAGTGAAGAATGCCTTTCTTTGTAAAGTGGAGTGGGGAGGAGAAGTAAAAATGAGGGCCTGTGGTATTCCCAGGTGAGTCTGTGGGAATGCCATGCAGAGCTGAGAGAGAGAAAACAGATCTGCTTAAATCCATTTGCTAAGTGTCCCAGAGGTGCACTAAGCTATGCATGAGACCCCTTGCAGAACCTGCCCATAATGAGTAGGGTGGAGTCTGGGAGTTTTCTCTTGYAGCATTTAAAGCAGTATGCTTCAGTAGGTAGATCCCATCCCTTTTCTTGTACCCACCTATTCTAGCTTCCCTCCTTTTTCCTGGGATGCATGATTTGTTCYGCCCTGGAAGGCTAGCCCTGCCTCCAGTGGACATGTCCCATCCTCTGGCACCCGCTGAGAGCATCCCTTTAACAGTTGTCCCCACTACCTTTCTCTTCATACGTGTATCTGTGGGGCATTCACATTCATGCCTCTTTCCACAGTCACCCTTGTCTGGGTAGATGGCAGTCCCATTATCCATCTGCACAACTCAAAAACCTCAGTGTCACCTTTAACTCTTTTGTCTTTCACATCTCACATCTGTTTCATTAGCAAATTCTGACATCTCAACATTTTAAACAGATCCAAGATCTAACCACTTCACATCTGGTCTAAACTGGCATCTTGTCTCATCTCCCGTATTGTGGAGTCTCCAGGCCAGTCTTCTGTGCAGTGCTTGCCTCCTCTAATGATGTCTGTTCTCAACATAGCAGGCTGTGTGATCCTTTAAGATACAATGAAGGTTAGTCACATGCCTCTCAGGCTCATCTCTCCAGGGTGTCCTGCCTCCCTGTGGAAATTAAGAGCTAAAGTGCCTTGAAGTCAACTTTGRTCGCTCCCTGCTTAGACCATCCTTCCTTTCCCATCTTCTCTGTCTTCTTTCCTAGCAGTGTTTCCTGCCCTCTTGATGTAAGTAATGCAAACATTATCCAAATACAWGTTCACCTCCGGGCCTTTGCATTTACAGCTGTCTCTGCCTGGAAGGTTCTTAAGAACCAGTTGATTTGCTTGATAACTTCTTATTGGTCTCTTCCTAAACAATTGTTTCAGTATGTCTTCCCTGAGCTCCTGTGTATTGCCCCCAAACACTCCCTGCTACTTCCAGCCTACACTGTCCCCACTCTTTTGCAGTGCTAGGGGTTGAACCCCAGGACCTTCATATGCTAGGCTAGTGCTCTACCACCTATCTACATACCAGCCCCCACTGTATTCCCTTTACATTGCTTCAATTTTTCTTCCAAAGCACTTCTTACCATCATACATATTTTGTATTCACTGGTGTTTGTTCCTAACCTCCAAAAGTTCCTTGCCTTGCCTCCACTAGCATGTGTGCACCAGGAGAGCAGGGCTCTAGCTAGATTTGTTCATTGTTAGGACCCCTAGCTCCTAACCCACTGCCTTTCCAGAATGGCCTAAGATATTACAATACAACATAAAGCCAACACCTGCATAACATTGGGACACTTCAATATAAGGTAAAGCTCTGGCAACTTGGGGGATGATGCAGATGCTTTCCCCGTGCCCTYTAAGGAACAAAGCTGTTACTGATGTTTTTCTTACAAAATAAGTGCCATGGACAGCTCTCTGTCTCTGGTGCCCACCTATCTTAGCTCTAAGTCATTGGTTTTCAGCAGAGTATATGATAGGGCAATATTTTAAAGGGTATTGGTTTTCARGAAAAAATATAACTGGATTATTACTTACGGTATTGAGTTCAGGTGCTCCATAAATAAAAATCTTTGCTTTGGAGGATGTCACCAGAGATCTCTAAATTTCTTTGAAGCCCAGCTTATTTCTAATTAATACTTGAATTTGCAGAAGCATCTGCAGCTTCATTTAAAAAAAGTCTCCTTTACCTACTCAACTTACCTTTGGGAGCACCTAACGTGGAAAATACTGAATGAGGCCATGTGAGGGCACCTAGAAATGTAAGACACAGTTTCYACTCTCAGCCATTTACAATCAGGTTGTGTAATTAACACATTTAAGGAAATGTTAACCACTAAGAGATGATAAATGTTTGAGGAGATGGAAATGCTAATTACTCTGATTTAATCATTACWCATTGTATACATGTGTTGAATTATCACACTCCACTCCATAAGTATGTGCAGTTATATGCCAATTAATTTTTTTAAAGTCAGAAGAAAGTAGAAAAGCTTGACATAGCAAGACCAAGTGGTTTCTTAGAGATATTGCAGGGGACAGACTGATGGAAGGATGGAAGAAGTCACAGGTGGGAACAATCCTGTTTTATAGTAATGGGATACAGGTGAAGTCCCAGACTCCTCTAAATAGGAAGATCTGGGAGCACTGGCATTCCATCATTAATTGATACTTCTTTTCAGGTGCCTGCCATATTGAAAGCCAATTCTCTTATGGCAAGTGCACTTATAAAGCTGAATAATGACATTTATTTGGAATGGTGATGCAGAAACTGTGAAAGTACTCCAACTAAATTTTTAAGGCATCCCAAGAATCTTGGGTTTAAAACAACTCTTAACAGTTCCAAGATTCAATCCTGTGCCTCTGTGCCCCCGGCTCCTGCTTGGTGCTTCAGTCTAGAAGCCCTGGTGCTCTTACGTGTCACACCATGGACTTGGGAAATTTGGGCAAGAGATCCTTAACCAAGGGCAAGCTTGGAAGCTTCCCCAAAACCATTTCTAAATGGACCTTGTTTTRGGGTTTCATCATGAGTGATCAGCCTGGCATAACCCAGCCTGAGTAGTGGACATGTACAGGAACCAAAGCTAGATAYTGAAGGCAGAAAGGGCAGAGTACCTGGAAAAGTAGTAATGTGGGCAGGAGGTAAACAGATTCAAGGAAAAGGCTCTGAGCCATGGGTTTTTATTTTCCACAGTTTTATGTTGCTGAATTCCTGTTCTGAAAATCTGAATCCACATAACTTTATCTCTAGGGTATTTAAACTCTGAGGTTAGTTTTCTGCAAATGATAGTTTTCCTACTCATGCAAAATGGAAGAGGCAGAAGAATAAAAAAATTATTAAATTCTCTTTGACCTAAAGTTTGTTGATTTTATTATCCTTTCTCCCAGTTGTCCTTGATTTTTTTCTGAATTTCAGATTATTCAGATAACCTTAAGGAATATGAAGTTGCTGATCTCTCTATTTACTTCTTCATATTCCTAGGAGGAAGCAGTTGGTATATGGTCTCTGTAACTGTTTTATCACTTTGGGAGGTCTAACAGACCTAATCTGCTTTAATGTATGAGAAGAAATGACAGCAGCCATTTCAGTATCTAAAGAGACACATGAGCCATTCAGAGACTTACATTTGCTTTGTTAAACTCTGTCTTCTTTTGATATCTTGCTCATTCTTCTCTTTAGATTTCCCAGCCTTCTTTTGTTTATTCTCTATTTTTAACCTCCTAATTCTAATTATGGTACTAATTGCATTCAATCATAGAATGTTAGATTGTAAACCAAATTATTTCTAAAATGTTTACCTTTTTAATTTCCGCATTTATTTTMTCTAACACATTAAAACACAGCACATCAGGGTCATAGTTTAGCCAGCCAGTGACCTGCTTAGGACCTTGATTGCATGCAGAGGATTGGGGTGGGGTGATTAAATCATTATATCTCACTGGGAAAGCARTTTCAGAGGCAAGAGATGGAAAGAGGCTCACTTTCCTTCTTTGTGATCAAAGTAGTTGATGGGAAGGGTTGTCAAAAATAGGATTGGATGGTGTTTTCTGACTCCAAATATGTGATATCTTTTTCAACAGCAACAACCAACTCTACAACACCAGCTGGGTGTTGAACAATTTAATTTAGTTCTGACACTATCTACCTTGAGTTAGCGTCAGAACCCACAAGCTTGAGAGYGCAGTCCCACAAGGCTGCCTCCACTTCAGACACTTGCTGTAAGTGGGGTGCCTAGGACACCCGTACTTCCACCTGCCTGAATGTACATTCAGGTGTTTCTACAACCCTCCTTCACTTTATTTTATTTTATTTATTTTTTTTAATTGTTGGTCCTTCAAAACATTACATAGTTCTTAATACATCACATTCTTCTAGAACAGCTCACAGTTCTTGGGTGAATACTGAAGTTTACTGGTTTATTCTGAAGGATGTATCTCAGGAACACACAAATGGAAGAGACATAGGGCAAAGGATGGGGAGGGGTGAGRAGCTTGGACCTCTCTGAGTGTGCCATCCCCCATGCATCCCTGTGTCCATAGCCCTGAACCAGAAGTTCTCTGAACCTTGCTGTTATAACCCAGTTTTGTTTTATAACCCATTCTCCAGCCCACCACCCCTTCCTGGAGTTGGGATGAGAAGAAATTGAAAGTTCCCACCTTTTAATAATATGATTGGTCTTTCTGGTGACYAGCCCCCATCATGAAGCTACCTAGAGACCTACACCTAAATCACTTCATTAGCATAAACTCAGGTATGGTCCAGAGGACCTCTTTCACAAAAGACTCCTAGCACCTAGGAAATTGTAAGGATTGGGAAAACCAAATATATTTCTTATTATACTAAAAGATATATTTTTTTAAAGGAAAGAAAATAGGAAAGAAAATTTTCCCTCCCCCCCTCCATTTCCATGCTGGTCTGTATGCACACACACACCAAAAAGTCTCCTATGACCTCAAGGTAGGTCTAATAGGGCCCAGGTGTCAGAATCACAGAAGAATCTAGACTCCTATTGTGCCTTTTAGATCAACAGCTCTTGTTCGCTGCATATCCCATTTATAATCCCACACCCTCTTCTCTTGAAGACTCAATGARAAGAAATCCCAGAGGGAGAGAAGGAACAGAATATTCTGTTGTATGGGAAGATCAGGGAGTATTGCCATCTCTAGGTTCATTGATGCTGCTTTCCAGGTGCCACCACATGGAAAGGGTGCCAAGTGTTGTCTACAGAGATGTTGCTCTGTGCTTCGCCCCTTAGGGATCTGACATCTAATTGGAAGCAAATGTTTTGAGAGGATAAACAACATATATCTGAAACTAGACTGTTTACAGGCCTTATTTTATGTCCTTTCATAGGAAACCCATGGAGGGCAGCAGAAGGTTCCTGCTCCAGTTCCCAACATCATGTTGGCCCTCACTCTTYTACATCTTTGGCCAGAGCTCAGTTATTATAGTTCAAGCATCCTGTAGGATTTTATATAATGGAGGAGTCTCTTTCTGTCTTTTGTTATCATTTATCACTTGACTACTAGAATTTTTACTTGCTGCTGCACACATCATCTCATTTCATTCTTGCCACACTATGAGTCTTGTGTACATACAAGGAAGTTGCCACTCAGAAAGTGTGATTCACCTATTTAAGCTCACACAGCAACACTGTACCAGAACCTTGGCACAAGCCAGGTCTGTTTGATTCCCAAACTCCCTGCAGCTCCCCRTTTCTTTCTGTGGGCCAGACTGGCTTTGGAGTAAGGGAGAGCAACATGAGCAGTTGGAGAGCACTTTTAGAGATAGCATACAGTCCATGCTTTCATGGGGGCTGCCTTGTCAGTATACAGATTGAGWTAGAAGAACCAGCTCTGAAACAGTGCAAAGATCACTTTGCTTGAGATCATGTAATGCAATTGAGTCCTGACCCAGTGACTGCTTCCAAAGATACAGTACTCTGAGTCTTAGTCTCTTGTAAATAAGAATAGTGATCATGCTGACTTCCTTGGATTGTGGTGAACATGGGCATGCACGTGATGCTGTGCTGCCACCTGGTGAGGCACTGAACCTGTGGAATATACACAGCTGGGTGTGCACATGCAGGAGGAGGTGTGGAGTGTTGGGGAGGTAGCATGCAGCCTGGCCTGCTGCCTTTAGATAGGTCTAAGCTTGACTGACCAAGCAGTTTCTTTCCCTGTCTCCCTTCTACCTTCTGTCCATTGTTTCAGCACRTGGAAGAGTCCAGTGGGTTGCATCCCACGACTAAACACTTAAGGTCACTCCAGGTGAACTGGGCTGGCASGAAATAATCACACAGAGTGATACCTTTTTATTTGGGTCCTGTGACGGCTTCTCTGACCTTAGGGGTCTGTGGAAAGAGAGAGAAAGGAACATGTGCTGAACCCTTTTATTGGGAAGAAGCCATTCAAATGAGGCAARGGGTCGGATTACAAAGGAATAGGTGAGTGTAGCTCAACTCCCATGGATGATGCCTATACCTGAAGACCTGCATTGCTATCTGAACTGGGACAATGCCCAAGTCACCACGAAATGTAGTGATTGGTCAGAGCCTAGTGATTCAAGACTGGAAGGTGTGGTCATTCAGAGTGGCTTTCCACACCAGTGCTTGCTTATAACTTCTGCTAACCTTTCCGAGCAACTCCTRGATTCCTAGGGCTCTGATTAGCATTACTAATAGTTGCTATAATTGGCTTTATAATAATCAGTGACCAATCCAGAGATACATCCCAGGGTGAGATATAAAGAAAGCATAGAAATTGATATGGAAGAGCTTTGTGCCCAGAGCAGGGAGAGAAATAAAGAGGAGCACAGGGCCAAGGGTCCTGAGAAATATAGGACTTCAGCAAACACCTTTGGTGGCACCTAGATGTTCCTGACAGACAACTTGAACAAGACCAGCCCTTCCTCAGTGTTCTCCTCCCATACCCTCTCCAATAGCCCTTGTCTAATTAGAGACTATAGCAGGGYACTTCTCAGTCCTAAATACCCCTGATGAAGCTTCCCAATGATATTTGTTAACATATTCTCATTCTCTGAGGTCCCTGACTGTAAAATGATATTATTTACCTTGGTATCTTCTCCTGTCTGACTTCAGATTRTTCCAACTCTCAGATAACCTTTGCAGATATACCTGCCCTCCCCAGAGTTTGGTTAGATGTCTGGGACATGGCCTTGGGCCCCTGTTGCCAGTATCAATAGTTCTAAACCCACCATGCCTCATCTATAATTCCTGAATTTCAACAGTTCTGAAAATTCATTTCTCCCTCTTCCCTTGATATTTTTGTAACCTTGCATCAAATTCATTTGGTCTGAAATGAAATTGAAATTGATGTGCAATTGAAGCATTTATTTATCTCTCAGTGTAAATATGTAAGTAAGTTTCAGAGCAAAAATAACAGTGTTTGATTATGGGACATCTGCCTTGGTTCCAGCTGGAGGTGTTGTATAGTGTACCTTTCTAAATATTGGAAAGTCTGTTCCAGAACATGGGTGGTCCCAGGGGAAATGAAAACAGAATGGGGCCTGATTACGATGCAGTTGTAGTATCTGCTGGGTCCACACCTGCCATCCTTGAGATGCCATGGTGGGTAGAGTGCTGGTTTCATGACACTGGTGGGGAGCTAGGGTTCCACCTCTATGGTCCCAATAGAATTTGGCCCTAGGAATGGCAGGTTAGCACCTGATCCTGGGATGGAGAACCCCAGGCAAGAGCCTTCCTCTGTTTGTACAGTAGACACTCAGGAATCTAAATTAAGTCCTGGACCTGAGTTTGTGCATCTACGAATACTTTCACATTCCTCACCTGCATCCTTCTATCCTGACAGTGTCCCACTGTCCAGGCTCAGTGTTTGCATTGGTAGGTCCTGGTGTTAGAAGCATTGTCGTTGTAACTGAAGCAATCCAAATCTAAGAATATGCCCTTAGAATTTCTGGGTCTCCCACGCATTTGCACAGTACTGTTTTCATGGAAATAAATGGTGTATATTTCCACAACCTGATTTTTATTCCAGTTGAAATAAATAAATTTATTTTTTTTCAAAATGTCCTTAGAATGAAAACTTGAAAAGCAGAAGAGTTATTCATTTGGCTAGAAGGAACCCATCACTGTGGGAGAGAAGGCTCCAGGGCATGCAGTGGGTTGGAATTAGCTTTAATGTTACCATCTGAATGTGGTCATGGTGACAGCAGAAACTTMAATGTGATTTTTATGCTATTCATGATCATTTTGGAAGGATTTATTTAATTCCCAGTTGCCTAATATTGTATAGACAGCAACTCAGTTTGTGTAAATATAAATGTCTGGAACTCTTTTTCACTTTGAATACACCTAATAATCTCTTACAAGAAATATAAGTAGGCCAGGAAGCAAAGTGCTGCTAATGTCATTGTCTGTGTGCCAGTCTTGGACAGATCACTATTTACAATGGAATATGTCAGAATATCCAGGCGTGAAGACTGTTCGTTTTCCAGATGGCCAGATTTGGAAACCAGACATTCTTCTYTATAACAGGTAAGAACTCTGGACAAAAGGAAAAGTGATTTTTTGCTTGTATATATGTGGCAATCAAGCATATTTGAACATTTTATAGAAATGCTGGATATGCTATCTATAATTGGAACCATTGCTCCTCATGAAGCTTTGCAAGTGACCAGGACTTTGAGAAGCAGCTCTGTCCCCCGCCCCCCCGCTGGTATTTTCTGTGTTTGCATGCAAGTTCAGGTTTTCCCACATGTTGTCCAAGGTCACCTTAGGGGTCATGCATTATAGGTGCATAACACCTTTTCTCTGCATATTTGGGTATGAAGCATTCATGTGTAAGAGTACATTTGCTCTCTGAATGGCAGCGGTTGCCATCAACAGCAGAAGGTATGTGCCTATGGGATGTCCAGGTGGAGTCATCTTCATTTGCATTGGGAGAGCTCTGTTGCAAAGGTGGCTAAGTTCATAAAGACTCTTGCCTTTAGCTGGTCAGGGAAACAAGCAGCCCATGTTGCCCACTTGACATAAGTAAAGTATAATAATATTCTACTAGTTTTTCTCCTGASGGCAAGAAACAAAGGATTCATCAATAAGTCAAGGCTGTTTGTTATGGAGAGCAGATGACTTAGAGCAAGAATCTAGGCAAGAAAAATTTCTAGGAGTAGTAAAATTATTTGTTAAACCACTTAGCCAAATAAAGATATCTAGACCATCTCTTCTATTTTATACATGATGACCAGCTTAAGATAAAATAAATTTTCTAATGAGGCAGACCTCTTTGGTTCCATCTGGAAGGAGAAAGGAGTCTGGACTTTTCAGGATTCAGAGAATGGTGTGACCATCTATCACTGTCCTCCATGGTCACTTAGTGAGCCCCCTTGAGCCAGCTAATAGGTTCATCCTATATTGCTCCTTCCAGAAGCCTGAACAATTCTATTTCTTATGGACTTCTAATTCTTTCTGTTTTTGCTGCTGGGGTCTTATTTCCCTTGAATCATTGGACCTATTTTTAGAAGAATATCTCCTCAGCTTCTGGCATTTTCTGCAGCTTAAATAAAGTTCAAGACACTAATGGGAAAGGCAGTGGGAACTGTCCCGGGTACTGCTAGGCAATGTTCTTCACCTAAGTGGTGACTGCAAAGATGTTTATTAAAAAACACCCTTAATCTCTAGGTACTCTACTTAAATATATTTAATATTTTCGAGGTGGGAAAAAAARCAGTTTGGACAACTGAGCTTTGAAAACTGTCTAATGTCCAAGTATATAATCCCTTTTTGAGGGRATGAAGCATGTGAACTTTTATGCTGGACTTTGGGTCATCTCTTTCTTAGGGTCTGTATGAGTTTGCTAGGGCTCCTGTAAAAAGAGTACCRTAGACTGGGTGGCTTAAAAAAACAGACATTTGTTTGCACACAGTTCCAGAGACCAGAAGTCTAAGATCAAGGAGTAGGCAGGATTGCTCTCTTACAAAATATTTAAAACTATTTTAAAGTAACTATAGATTCATAGTAAGTTTCAAATATGTGTACAGGGAGGCCCTGTGCACCCTACACCCCACCTTCACCCATGTTGGCATCTTACTTTAGTATAGCACAATGTCAAAACCAGGGAATTGACATTGGCAAAATTCACAGAGCTTGTTCAGATTTCATTTGTTATGTATTGGGGGGGAGGGGAGTCCATGAAATTTTATCACGTGTATCTTTGTGTAGTCACAATTGTGATACAGAACTTACCATTATCATAAGGCTCCTTCGTGGTACCTCTTGATAGCCCCCCCCTGCTGTTCCCAACCCATGCCCAGAGTTGGTTTCTTCTGATCCACTCTCTGCAGCTTACAACTGTCCATCTTCTGTGCTTGTCTATGTCCTAACCTTTTCTTCCTATAATGACATCAGTCAGATTGGACAGTGACTACCCTAMCAACCTCAATTGTTTTTAATTACCTCTTTAAAGGCCCTATGTACAAATATAAGTCACATTTTGAGGTACTGGGGTTTAGAATTCAACATACGAATTTTGGAGGTAGCAATTCAGATAGTAACGGGCATTATGGCCAACTGCTTATAAACAAAGCTCTGAGGTTGAACAAATCAGGATGTAAATTATAGCCATAAAATATGCCATCTTTAAAACTTTTGATTATTCCATTTGTCCTTTGCACAGTGAAGGAAATGCCAACTTCACAGAGTTCGGAAGGAAATATCTATGGGTGTTTGTAGCATGTTTAATGTGGTACTTGGCAATGATAAACATTTAGTCATGGCATGTGTATTAAGAGAGTATTTTAACAGTTGAAAAAGAAAGAATGTGTTTCACAGTTCCTAATTCAGTTTTCTTCATCTGGAATCAATAATAGATTTTATAATAAGGCTATAAAAGATGGGTTTTTATGTCTGTGTGTAAAACTGTTAACTCCCAAATATAAAAAGTTTGATGATTCAACCATTCTGGCTAAAGAAGAGTTGCTCAAGTGTTCTGTATAATTGAATTTCAAGGAGCAAAGATACAGTAGTTTCTGCGTGACATATGACACAGGCCCTCAGGAATAATGCCATATTCTTTCTATGCCTGGCTCAGAATTCTGTTTTTCTTACATTTGCCTTTAAGATCTCCTTAGCAAATTTTCTCTTTCATCTTCTGCTCCTTTCYTGTTGACAGAGTCTTCCAGAATCGYTGATGGAGCATATAGAGGCTGCCGTGCCTTATGCTTTAATTTTTCTGAGCAGTGGGATGTAGGACTTCTTTCTGAAGTAAACTGTTAAATGTATGGCTTTCATGCTCACATGAATCGTTTACAGAGAATATTATTTAAGCCTGTCTTAGACATGGTACCCATAATCTATTGCTACAGAACAAACTACCCCAAATTTAGTGGCTTAAATAAAYAGAAAACTCCTATTATTCTCAGGATGCTGTGGACTGACTGGGTCCATGTGGCTGGGCTGGTTGTCTATTCCATGAAACACTTTCAAAGAGTAGTCAGCTGGAATTAGAATACCAGGGAACACAGTCACACTGCTGGAATAAGCTGGCTGGCGAGAATGTTGGCAGTGGCTGGAAGCTTAGCTGGGGTTGAGTGTTGTGCCACTTGGGTTTTCTTTCCCTGTCCTTTTCCACAGGTGCATATGTCCCCCCAGTTTGGTGGTTGGAAACAAGAGGAAGAAAGTAGGGGCTGCCMGGCATCTTTGGGACTGAGCATGGGAGTCCCAGAATGGTCTGTCATCCATTCTGTTGGGCAAAGTAAGCAGAGGTGCAGAGTCAAGGTGGGGAGGAATTGGTCCCATCTCTCTAGGCCATGCAGGAAAGGWTTGAAGCAAAGGTGAGCTCTAGGGGAGATTAGCTATCAGATGCTAAAGAAGGAAAATGATGAAATTGTGAAGGTCAGATTAAAAATTTGGGGAGAACAGGAAGAACAGACTAGGCATGCATATTGAAAGTACTGGCTAAATGGAGCACTCAACTAAAYTCATTCTGTAAGAGGATTAGTGGGCTAAGAGAGATTGTTTCCAAACAAAAACATCGTTGGATAATTCCTAGACTCTATTCAACAGCTTCCCTTTGCTGGCTAGATGTACTGCATGGGCCCCCAGGTATGTATGGACTGGCCCACCTTTCTAAACCTTCTATTCCCTAGCCCCACTGTCTCACCTMATTGATACATGCTGACTCTTCTGCAGACAGGATATTTAATCAGAGTTCCTCTTTGGGTGAGGAATTCCCACCTCCCTTATCCTTTCAACCTAACAGAAAGGGGTTCGTGTCCCTATAGCACTTAAGGGCTTCTCTTTCTCAGGGGACCTAATAGAGCACTTAATACATATACATAAACAGATAAAGTAGAGGGAGGATATAGGAATTAATAGGAGGAGGAGCTGAGAGGATGTTGCTAAGAATGGCCAGAGAAGAAATAAAGCAAAGAGAATAAATCATATTGGCAACCCAGAAAACATTGAAGTATGAAAGAGTCCAAAAATTGACATTGGAATTAGCAAAAATGGGTTTGTCTTTAGTAAGATCCTGACCTCCTGATATTCTGTACTTGGGGATTTTGAGAGATGCCAGCTTAATATTTCTTGCCAGCTGCCAGACACTCAGAATCCCATGTTCTGCTCAGAGACTCATTTGTTGGTTCATTAGTGTGTGAATGAGGGTACAGGGGCTTTTACTGAAGGAGGGGGTTAAAATGCTATCACYCTGAAAGCCAGGGTTTTTAAGGAGCGTTGAGTCCAGTGATGCCTCACAAACACGTCTCTTATTTCTCACTGTATTCCAGGTTGATATTGGAGCCCACGTGTGAGCCACTAATGGTTTTTGAGATATAATGCATTTTCTGTGCTTTGAAGAGGCTGGGTCACTGCAAAACAGCTATCTCTGCATCATTTCTGGAATAGGTTGCTGAATTTTCTTGATGGATGGGGAACCAGTTATGTGTTCCCAGCCAGCTGGCCAGGCTCTGAGGAGAGGATGGGCGTTAATAAAAGCTCTGCCCAGTGCTGATTTCAGTAGTTTCTCGTTGCTTTATTTTGCTTCACTTGAAGCCATCAGCTCAAGGATTTTTCTGAACACAATATTGCTCAAAGTGAGTAGCAATTATGGATGGTTTGTCACGATGGCCTCTTTTGGATGGAATTGAAAGCCTTGCCAGTATCAGCAGTCAGCTTGCAGAAGGTCTGAATCCTAGGGACATGGAGGCCACCCTATGCCATGCAACAGCAGGCAACTGCCTCAACCCCTCTGGCTTCATTTTTGATGAGCATATTTAAAGATATTTTGTGGATTCTGAAATTTGAAAACAGTGGAGAGTGCTAATCATCCATTTCACAGACTGTGCAAAGCTGCATTTGCCCATCTATAGGTTGATGTTTTTCTTTACACTTTTCTGTCACCCTGTGATGATAGCAGAGCCTTGGAAGTGACAATGTGTACAGGGCATTCTGGGTGCATTGTAATATAGCTTTATAAGAATTCTTAATTGTGCTAATCAATGAGGTGCCAATGGAATCAATTTATTCCCTTGCCAATGGTC